CTTCTCTCTACAACAAAATAGTTTACAAGATGTTTGGACCAGCACACCGTTCCGTCTGAGGGAGCGGGCGCACCGGCATGATCTGAAAGATGAAGGGGCGCATGGACCAAGTCGGATTTATTTGACCATTTGTGGAAACTTCGGGACCTGAATCCGAGTCACCAGGCGATAACAGGTTGGTCGATGGAAGTCGATGTTGACGAGATTCGATCTGTCAGGGCCTTTGCCGGGCAAGGACCGGCCCACCGGGAAAGGCCAATGGCACCCAGGACAATATCGGAGCTCAAGGAGCTAAATGGGTGGGTTGGTTGGCAGCCGGGTGGCAGCCGGTGCCAGACCCAGCCCGATTTACCCCTCCACCTCGACTCCTCCCGACATTGCCCTGAGGTAGGCTGTAACAGCGAGTGCCCCGCCATAGCTGCAGCGTGTGCGGAAAGCATGAGCTGACCCTCAACCATCCTACCTTTCCGCTGAGGCTTTTCTCCATTTTGATCTCTCCTTTCGCTCTACCAGCCTGCGTTATTTACATTTTTGTCTCAAAAGTCCAGCATCAGTTCTGCCTCGAGCAAGTCGCATCCTTTCCCACAAATCAGCAAACGTACCAATTGCCCACCATGGCTCGCAAGTTCTTCGTTGGCGGCAACTTCAAGATGTAAGTGCGGGGCTCAACCCTGGAAAGGATAACCATCTGCCGATGCGGGAAGCAAGGAACTAATGGCGGGATCCCTGCGCGCTCCAGGAACGGCACCACGTCGTCCATCAAGGAGATCGTCAAGAACCTCAACGAGGCCAAGCTCGACGCCAACACCGAGGTCGTCATCGCCCCGCCCGCGCTCTACCTGCCCCTCGTCCGCTCCGAGCTCCGCGAGGGCCTCGAGGTCGCCGCCCAGAACGTCTTTGACAAGCCCAACGGCGCCTTCACCGGTGAGATCAGCGTCGCCCAGCTCAAGGACATCGACATCAAGTGGACCATCCTCGGCCACTCGGAGCGCCGCACCATCATACGCGAGTCCGACGAGGTCGTTGCCTCCAAGACCAAGTACGCCACCGAGGAGGGCGTCAGCGTCATCTGGTGCTGCGGCGAGAGCCTCGAGGAGCGCGAGGCTGGCACCACCGTCGACGTCGTCAGCAAGCAGCTCGCCGCCCTCAAGGCCAAGATCTCCGACTGGTCCAAGGTTGTCATTGCGCTACGAGCCCATCTGGGCCATTGGCACCGGCAAGTTGCCACCACCGAGCAGGCCCAGGAGGTCCACGCCGCCATCCGCGCCTGGCTCAAGAAGGAGGTCAGCGACAAGGTCGCCGACGAGACCCGCATCCTGTACGGCGGCAGCGTCAGCGAGAAGAACTGCAAGGACCTCGCCAAGGAGGCCGACATTGACGGTTTCCTCGTTGGCGGCGCGAGCCTGAAGCCTGCCTGTACGTTGTGCCTCTCCCCCCTTTTGGATGCAGAGAGTGAAAAGCTGACTTTTTATCTAGTCGTCGAGATCATCAACAGCAAGCAGTAAGCGTTTTGACGCCTCGATGGAGGGGGAATATCTTGGAGATGACGGCATGAAAGATTGAGCAAACCTAGCACTCTTCCTAGCCTGGATATGATAGCCAAAAAAAAAACCAGTACTTATACCCCACCACTGCTTTGACCGATGCGCTCTCACACAAGAAAATCTCGACCTCCATGGTTGTTCGTGGTTGAATTCTCTCAAGGGGTATATCGCCCCCCTATTTGGCGTGCTAGTGTACAAGCATCATCAGAGACGCCGCACTCCGGTGATGCCAATCCAATGTTCCCGCTCTTCCTATGCGTACAAGTTACAGCTTTTCCTTTTGCTCATTCCTCCCGTAGCAGCTCTCTCTGCAGCTCTCTCTGCAGCTCTCTCTGCAGCTCTACACCGCCTCGCCGTTGCCGTGGTAAGGACTCCAGATGCCTCTGACGCTGGGATTGATACTGGTGACGGGCTTGTTGGCTCTCCGCAGCTTTTCGCCGTTGGTGTCTCGCATGGACTCGGCGGCCCTGAGAATGTCCATCGGCTGCATATTCTTGACGAGAAGGGATCGCGAGTTGCCGTTGATGTAGTGGCCGACGATGGTAGGATGTTTCGCGGGTCGCGGGGAGACGGAGATCTCGATCTGGGGGTGCGCGGCGGCGAATTTGGGGAGCTGAGACTTGATGAAGCCGCTGGATTTGTGGTTAGCAAATTGCTGTTTGGATCGCGAGACCGAGGGGTCTCCTCAACATACTTCATGCCCTTGGAGCTTCCGGCCCAATCGCAAAAGTGGAATTCGAGCTTCTTGCACTGCAAGATGAAGGCGCCGAGGCCGTTCTGTGATATGTCAGTGGGGTGATTCCTGGTACGAATGTCGCGCATGAGAACCAACCTGGCCCTGTGATACTGTCTTCAATGCCTTGATCGTCATTGTGTTCTGCCAGGTGTATGAAGCTCGGGGTGTTCGATTCGTCTCGTCCTAGGGGACCTTCAGCCTCCGTCGAGAGTCGCGTGAGATTTCTTAGCGTGCTGCCGATCGGTAGAACATCGGGGTAGGCTGGGGATGTCGCGACCCGCATTGATGGTATGTGCGGCCGCTGCATATGCAGATAACAGGAGCAGGACGGTCCATTCCTGCAGGCTCGGAGTGACCTGCAGCGGCGTCTCGACAGCTAAATTGGCCTCCTAAACTGTGGAGCTTTGCCGACACGATCGATCTCTGCTGTCTCGACTGCTGCCTTTCAATTTGCAGCACGACGCGACGACCAAAAGTCCCATCACCCCCTCCGCGACCAACTCGTCCCGCTGGGAATCGTCATCGCGCGCACGCGCACCTCTTTTTGATTTCATTCAATTCTTGACCTTCTTTTCCAGCCGTACTATGCTCGCCGCTTGTCAACATGACTGACAAGCTCCCACCCAACCTGCTTGCGCTGTTCGCGCCGCGCCCGCCCCTGCGATGGGTTCCGCCCCCCGACCATGCGCCTGAGCAACGACGAACGGCTCCCGTCTCCGGCATCGCTGCCTTCCTCCCCGCGCTCGCCGAGTACAAAGACCAGGATGGCTACGTTCCCACGGAGAGCTGGCTGCAGATGAAAGATCGCAAGAAGCAGGAGCACAAGGCCAAGCTCGAACGGCTCGCGGCCGAAGGCCCTGTTGATTGTAAAGCGAACCTTTCCATAGCTAGGGACATCTCCAAGAGTGCGCATTGCTGACGTGGGGTCCAACAGACAAGCCGAATGAAGACCCCAACATTCGCGGCGACGCCTTCAAGACTCTCATTGTCGCAAGGCTGTCCTACGAGGCGAACGAACAAGACCTCGAGCGAGAGTTTGGTCGTTTCGGCAATATTGAGCGTGTACGTACTGCGCCTTGACTCGAATGATAGCTCTTGCTAACAGATGGCCAGATTCGCATCATCACTGACACGCACGCCCATGAAAAATCCAAGAATAAGAAGAAGAAGCCCCATCGAGGATATGCTTTCGTCGTTTTCGAGCGCGAAAGAGATATGAGAGGTAATATTGCCATTGCAACATATTCAGCCCATGACGAGGCTCGGCCTCATCCGGCCCCCTCTCCCCATAGAAGACGCGAGGCCCTCAGGCTCGCCTGCGTCTTCTCGTCCCTCCCTCGAGACTCCCATAGGCCCTCAAGCTTGCCTCGTCTCCAATCATGTTTTCCTACTGTTCCTTCTTGTCTTCCTCTCACCATCCGCGCAAAGGTATGCTGAAGGTAAAGTTGACTGACACAAGCGCTTCGGCGCGCCGGTGAGTAGCTGCTCTAGATTCCTGCGATGGAATTCGAATCAAAGATCGACGTATCAAGGTAGACGTCGAACGCGGCCGCACAGTCAAGGGTTGGAAGCCTCGCCGCTTCGGCGGTGGCCTCGGCGGCCGAGGCTACACGAAGGCCCTCCCTGCTAGGCCATGGGCGGGCCAGGTGGCTTCGGTGGAGGAGGCTTCAGGGGCGGATTCCGAGGTGGCTTTGACGGCGGTCGCGGTCGTGGAGGATTTCCGCGGCGGCTTTGGCGGCCGTGGCGGTGGGTTCCGTGGTGGAGGTGACTTTGGTGGCGGCCGTGATCGCGGTGGTCCAGGCGGTCCCGGCGGTCCAAATGGTTTCCCCCGTGATGCGCCCCAAGGCCCTGGCCGTGGCGGCTTCGGAGACCGTGATCGCGGTTTCTCCAATGGTGGTGGGTTCGACCGCGGCAGCGGTCGCTCGTTCGATGACCGATCTGGCGGTGGCCCGCGTGATCGTTATGGTGACCGGGACCGCGACAACCGACGCACAGGCAGCAACATGGAGCCTGTTCGGCCCAGAGGTGAGGGCGGCTACCGTGACCGCGACAACAGAGACAGTAGGGACAACAGGGACAGCAGGGACAGCAGGGACAACAGGGACAGCAGGGACGGCAGAGACAACCGGGACCGAGACTACGACCGCCCGCGCGACGACGACAACAGGAAACGCGGATACGACGGCGGTGGCTACGAGGACCCACGCAAGCTTCGTCGCTACTAATCAGACACGTGCGGCCTCTATGGATGTCGCGATCCTGCGGTGGGTGCCAGCTCTTCGCCTGCTCACTTCTGTAACCAGAACAGTGAATCCACTCACCCGCAACGACATACGCTTGAGCACCACTGCTCGTCGCCGTCATACACTCTCCTCCTGTTGCCCTTGCTGCATCAAGGACTACGCTCATATCACGGTCCTGCGCCGGCGTCGTTCGTTAGGGAGGTATCATTTCCGTCTGTATTTACTAGGTACACTTGATCACGAGGTAGTCACCGAGGACTACCAACGATTATCGCTCAGTGCTCGGCCCGCAGCAGGTAAGATCAGAGGTAAGGGTCTTCGTGCCTACTGATCTGGAGTTTCAGGGAAGGAGACGAGGAGGGGTAACCACAGAAAAGTCATCGATGCAGAGCCTCGACACGGCCTAATTTTGTTTTGTACGAGTAGTGAACCTCAATTCAGCCGACACGGCTTCTTGAGCTCATTCGGTAGACTGGGGGCTGACATGTCCTAGTCCGTGATCCCCGCCCCCTGCTCTCGCTAGATGTGAGGGCGACACGTAGTTTCGTGTGTACGTCTCCCTACTGTCGTGACAACGAAGGTGATGTTGCAAATTTCTGTTTTTACCAACCAACGCCATAACTCCGCAGTTCGTCATGATGGTATCGCTTTCCACACGTACGACCACTCGTAACCTTTACGCAAATGCTGCTGAACATTCCTCTCTTTTCGTATGAGACCCTTTCCAGTTTTACTCCTCCATGGCGGTGGCCTTCTTCAGGTCCGTCACCTCGCCCGTCGCGGCACTCCAGTACCTATGCTAAGGTTAGCCGCTGCAGCAGAGAGAGAGAGGGAGATATGCTGGTGGACCGTTCTCGTGACAAAAGAGGGTGGAATGGTACGTACGCGATCAGCTCGACGCGGAACTCGCTCATGCAGATGCCAAAGAGCTTCAGGAGCCTCGTCTGCCGAGAGTCGAGGACATCGCCCTCCTTGCAGACGACGTAGCCGGGGGCCGCGTCCTCGGTGGGCTCCTCCTCGCCCAGGACGATGCGGCCGCGGACCATGCGCGTGGGCATGCCGAGGCGGCGCAGCTCTGGCTCAATCGAGTGCTCCATGGGAACGTCATGCTCGCGGGGCACCTCACCGCCGGTGGCGAAGAGAACACCCTGGGGAATGGCGAACTCGCGGGGCGCCGTGGTGCCAGCGCGCGCAAAGTCGACGGGCGAGAGGCCTTCGAAGTAGGTCGTGATGGCGGAGGGGTCGCGGTTCGTCAGGAGGAGGCCGACGGTGCCGCTGAGGTGCGGCGTCAGGCGATCGGTGCCGTCGAGGAGGGCGGTTTCGCGCGTCTGGCCGAGGGCCTTGGACATGAGCTTCGTCTTGCCGAAGAAGAGGCTGCGGGTGGGGGGGATTGTCAGTCAATCTGGGGGTTGAACATATGATGAGCAAGGGGCGTGGACAAAACGCACCGGCAGTCGGAGAGTTCGTGGCGGACGTCCTTGAGGTGATTGTTGCGCATGTTATCGACGCTGAAGACGAAGCAGTGCTGGTACTGGGGGACGGCCTCGAAAGTTGGGCGAAAGAGCCTTGTCCCTTGTCTTCGCGCGTCTTCTTGGGACACCTGCGTCATGTTGACGAGGCGGGTTGCGCTTTGACCTGGGCATCTTGGGCAACGATAGTCTGGTGAACCTTTGGTATCCGCTTTAGTTCGCTTGCCCAAAACACTGCTGAAAGATCGAGGTTCGAGATCGAGAGTTGAAAGGGGGGGGGGGGGGTGGCGGTCGAACAGTCGCTGCTCGTGGGCTTGGTTGGGGGAGGAGATTTGCGGTCGAATTTCCTTATCTTTTATCGGTGAACGGGTCGGCTTCAATTTTTTGGGAGTTCTTGTCCAACTTTTTTTTTGGGACCCCGCGTTGGCAGGCGGAACGATTTTCCGGGGCAGGGTCCAAGTGGAGCCTAACAACCTAGGTGCCCCCCTAGATAGGTATCTCGTTGTGCTGTGGGCACACCAAAGAGACCGACTCGGCCTGGTGCCACAGCGAGATGGGAATTGATTGTGCCGTGCAGGATGTATCATGCATGTTACTGGCAGGTTCTATTACCAAGACCGAACCCTCAAGTTTAGGCAGTCGTCTACCATTTCCAGGAACCAAGACCGCCGCATTTCGACTAGAAATTAACCCTCACCGTTGCCTCTGCCTGATGTCTATTTGTAGCGTGAGCGATCATGAGATGTAGGTATACATGTTTCCGTCGCGCTCCATGTAGTCCTTGTCAATCAACCTGCAAAGAGTCAGTATGCGAAGGAAACAACCGACAGATTCGTGATACATACGTCTCTATGAGCTTCTTGATGGAGGCGGCGTCAACGGGACCACGCTTGCGAGTAAAGTTGATCACTTCAGCCACCAGCTCGCTGTGTCCGATCGTCTTGCGCGCCTTCATCACCCGCACAATGGCCGCCTGCGTCTCGAATTTACGGTCCTCGGCAATGCGCTCATGTGTCGCTTTATTCTCCTCCTTCGTCTCCTTGAGCTGAATCTGATTGATCTTGATCCGAAGTTTGGGATCAGTGAAAGCTTTGTTGATGGTAAAAGTATCGGTCTCGCTGACATCCCTTCCCTTGGGGTGTTTGCTCAAAACTCGGACCTTGCCACATGCGAGCGATTGTAGTGTCCGCTGGAGTTCCGGACCCGCAAGTCCCGTAGCTGTGCTGATCTGTCCGAAGCTGAGGAAGCCCTCAAGATCGACCTCGTTGAACAGCACAAGCACAACGGCCTGGAACGCACTGACCATGAGTTCTTTCGTGCCTCTCGGGAAGATGGCCTTGACCGTACAATTAGCGAGCGAATGGGGCCACGAGAGTTTCCTGCCGTCATGCTTGTGGTTGTACCACCGCTCGAATCGTTCGATCTCGGCCGCTGCACCTTCAGGCAGGTTGAGCTTCGTGTCGGGATATGTCGGCCAAGACGCTGCGGAGATGACCATAACTTGCAGATCGACTTGTTGTTCAGCATTTGTGCCTTCTGACCATTGCTTGTAGTGCTGCATCTCCTCCTTGGCGAGCTCCTGATCTTTGAACATCTGCTCAAGATTACGCGTAAAGTTGGCACCGCACTCATCCCGGAGCTTTCGAAGCATATTTCTCTCGGCATCTTCGCTCGCACTTCGGCCCATGAGCAGCCGCCTGGGCAGATCTTTCTTGTAAAAAGCTTCAAAGGCGTCCTTCCCTTCAATGAACCTGAAAGAGCTCAAGGGGCAGCATCAAGCTGGCGATCCAGCTCGGCATCCTCGTCAGCCGTACTTGATTGCCCGCTTTTTTTCAGCAGCAGCCCGATCCTTGTTGTCAGACAACAGACTCTTGGGAAGAGCCTTGAGACCGCCTCGCAAGAGCATGTCGATGTGTTTCGCGATCATCTCTCCAATCTTGGACGTTCCCGTGCTCCACCCCGAAGTCGTTTTCCGGTCGTTCATGAAAGCGCCGAAGGCATGCCTCAGCTCGTACCCAAAGACTTCATCACCTCTGAAGCCATCTCGCACGACCAAATCCAGAGCTCGCCTCAGCTCAAGCAACCTCATGACCATGTCGTCTCCTCTCTCTACGTTGCCCACAATCGCTGCTCCAGCCTCTTGGATGTAGGTTTTCCACGGGTCCTTCAGCTTCGCCTGGATCCCCGACAACCGCAGGAGGTCGTAGAGAGCTCGCATCGACTCGATTTCGTGATCAGCAAGCAGCTTCGACAAGCTTTCGACATCCAGAAGCTTAGCCGAGTAATCCTTCACCACGATGCCGTGGGCGGCATCGAGAAGTTGCTTCTTGGTCGTGCTGTCAAGGTTGTACGCGTTACATCGGTAGTCCTCATCCTTCAAAAGCTTCTCGCATGCAAGGATGTACTCCTTCAGAGTTGCTGTGCTCCTCTCATCTGCAAATTCGTGGAAGAAGTTGACTGAGTCGTGGAGAAAGGCCGGCTCAAACGACTTTTGGTAGACGTTAAGCACGTTGAACATACGGACTGATTCTTTCAGTAATCGAGCATCGAATCGATCGTCATTCACTCGATCGTAAGCGATCAGCTCGCACACCCCGCGGAGACATCGAGTAAAAGGTGTCTGGTTGGTAGCGTCCTTGCTGGCCGAAGACGAGAGCATCTTCCGGAACTGCGTGATTGTCAAGTCGTTGATTGAGCCCAGCGTTCTCTCCCGAAGAAGATACGTCCTGTCGAGGTAGCTGAATATAGACCGAATGTCTATCTGAAACCATGTGTTAGCACTGGCTCTTGAGAAGAACGAACGCAAGTGACACTCACAACTGCCTTGTTCCAATCCTGCCAGTGGAGAAAGACGCTCCGCAACATGTCAATATTTGAGGGGCCTGGCGACCTGTCGATGATGGATCGCAAGGTTGCTTGCTTCAAGTGAGCTTCGCATAGCTCTTGTAGCATCCGATATAGTTCCTGCCCCTGCTCATGCCTACAGATATCCTCCGCGCCCCTGTACAGCTTCTCCATTGGCAGTTGGAGAGGCTGGTGGCGAAGTATGCACTGAAGGGCATCCTTGAGCTGCTGCCGTGTCCGATCATAATACTGCTCGGTCTTGTCGGTCTGCGTGGGTGGCCTGAGATTCTTGATCACGATCTTTTTGGCGCCCGAGTATGGCCGGAAGGCACTCTGCTGTGTAAGGTCAATCACTTCAGGCAGCTTCCCCTTCGTCTTGTTAGACATAGTCGTCATGGAAGCGGTGTCGGCGCCAAACTTGAAGCGCTTTGGGCTTGGCTTTTCTGAAAAAGCCGAAGACGGAAGGTATTGGTTTTGTTGCGCAAGATGCGGTGTAGAGGGGGACGCGTGCACGTCAGAGTCGACGCGGGGTCGCCGCCGCGATGGGCTGCTAATGCTTGCGTCGCCCAGTGCACCCGATAAGCTTGGGCTTGTGCGAAGACCTGAGCTTACCGAGCCTGTGGCCCGCGATGGCAGTTTTCCGTCGGCCGGGTGGTTCGGTTTCGACGGCATCGACAGGACCGGGAGGCCCTGCAACAACTTGAAGTAAGCTGTTACGCAGCCTAAGGTGTCCGAGTTACAGAGTCGTCCTGTTCGTGCAGCAATGCGGTGAAAAATGCCTTTAAAAAGAGGCTACTGAAGTGGCTCGCCAATCTGGTGTCGTGCAAGTTCGTCAATTATCTTTGTCGAGAAATACGCTGAAGGAAACGGGAGCAGTTGAGGTGGGTTTGCTTCACGGAGTTAAGACACGGAGAGGAGATGGGCAACAACGGGGTGGATTAAGGCGAGAGCTGCCCGCAACGACGACATCATCCACTTTACGCGCTTCCTATCGCGCTTCCTCGGTAGATAAGGCATGCTGACATAATCGGTTGATGGCCTTCGCAGCTGGCCTCAGCCCGTAGATACAGGAGGTCATTTCCCTCATAACGCTTAGATATGGAAAGCGAATTGAAACGAACTGTTAGAGTTCTCTTGATAAGTCGTTCGCATGTGTGTATCATCTATGCATAGGCGGCCCAACCTGAGTATAATACAGCCAGGTTCCGCTCATCCGTGGCCTGGTTGATCAAATCGTTGACCGTCGCTGTGACACTCAATGTCTTTGAAAGCTTCTTGCGCACCACTTCCAGCGCCCTGTCTGCCTCCGAAGGCTCGTTCACCCTCGTCTTTCCCCTTCCAGCCACGTCGTCATCCCCATCCCCGCTGCCACCCTGCAACTTTGCTAACCGTACCGGTGATATAGACCAGGAGTACAGAGGATCGTACCGCAGAACATCAAGGATGGTCATGATACTGTACGTCTCCTCCCGTAGCGCATCGAGCGTGAACTCGCAACAACGCTGGAACACACCCTCTTTGGTGACGCCCATACCATCTTCGATATCCCTCGTCAGTCTGAACGGCACCAGCTCGGGCACCGGCAGCACGCGGCCCATCTCAAACGCTACACCCAGATCGATGTGAACCACCTCGCCTGTCTTATTGTCCAGCAGAATGTTGTGCCCGTGCCGATCGCCTAGACCAAGAATGTGTCCCAGCATCGAGATCGCGGCGGTGGTTCGCGTGTAGGCAGTTCGCTTGACGAACCACTCATCGGGGTCTACAAAGTATTCCATAAAGAAGTACTTCATGACAGGATGAAAACGTTCCTTGACTTTACGGTAGGCACTGACCCTCGCGTCCACAGATTTGCCCTGCACCGCAGAGATCTCCTTTCTGCATTGACTTCCCTTGAGGTCTTTTGGATAATACCGCTCATGGGCAGGCATGAGGAATTCATGAAGCGGGATGGTATTCGGGACAAACTCGATGAGGCCTGAAGCCGATGTCAGAGGCAAGACCTTGTATGTGCGAATGCCCAAATTGCGCCGCTGGGTCTCGCGATGCAGCTTGAGCAAAGATGATACGGCAGCAAACACCTGTTCCATGATGGCATCTTGGCGGAGGTCGTCGTTGCCTCCCTTGACCAATTGCTTGTATCGCACGCCATCCGTGCCAACTGCGGTGATGATCTTTGGAGCGCTTACCCCCGAAGCAATCGACATCTGCGGCTCGAGCCTCGCTATGATTGGGACCTTGGAGTAGTCCTTGTCCGCCGACAATTCGAGCTGCATCGTCGGTGGCGGGATTTGGTACTTATTCAGAGCAGCCACGAGGTAGTTGCCCGAAGTCGTCTCCTTGAGGTTGATCTTGTGCCCTGCTTTGTACTTTGGGTTGTCACGGTCAACCGCCAGTCGGTGATAGTGCCCGTTTGTTCTGTCAATGGCATGCCAGATTGCGCCCTGCGTAGGGTGTTTCTCTAGTTGATCTTTGACTTTGTTGGTTGCCTTATGTCGCAGCACTGCCACCTCGTCTTTGCTGTTTGCTTTTACCTTGACGCCAGACCAGACCTGATACATGCTGTGGTATGGGTGGTCTATACATATGTTATAGACAAGGTTGATCAAAAGCCTCTGAAACACGTTTGACTGGTCCTGCAGACGGGAGCATAGCTGATTCATGAGAGTTGCAAATTTTCGGGTGGGAACCTTGTCGAGGTGTCTCCGAACGGCGTCGTTGGTGGAATCGTCGTCCGATCTTTCAAGCCACAGGGCCGTGAAGCGCAGTGCATCGTTGTTGTGTTCGTCGGATGCGATGAGAGAAAGGAGATAGTTCTCTAGACTCAGGCGCACGAATTCGCTCCTCGTCTGCTCTACCCGGCGAAGCTCCTGCTCGTCGAGATGCAACCACTGTTGCGCTCTGGTAAGGTGGGATGAGTATCTGGATTTCGTTTGCGAGTTCTTTTCACTGGAAATCAAAGACCGCAACTGTGCAACTTCGTCGCTTTTGCCCTTCTTCAGATTCTGTAATCTTGCCAAATCATCAAGCCCATCGGAGTTTTGCAGTTGTTCATCACAAAACATGGCGAATTGGTGAAAGACTTTGCCCGCGTCCTTGCCGTCGGTGCGTCCCTTCAACTCCTTCAAGGCAGGCTCAAGATACTTCCTCTGGATGTCATGTGGCTTCTCCAATTTGGCTACTGAAATTTGGTAGCCTATTTTGGACAGTAGATCAGAACGACTGACCGGGATACTCTGTTTCTTGAATACGGAGTCGTTGTCGATGCTCTGCAGCATCCTGATCGACGAGACCATCTCGCCGTGATCCCAGAGTGAGTTGGCTGACTCTATCTTGGCGGCTGCATCAAAATTCAGTCCCAGATGTTCGCTCGGCACTATCAAATTTGTTAAAGATGTTGATATGTTGAGTGATTCTTGAGTAGCGCGATGGAAACGGTAGATGCCAGATGATGTGAGCTTGCAGCGGACTTCGATTTGTCGTGCTTGGCTTATAGAAAGATTGGCTGCTGCTCGCAATTTTGGCTGTTGGCTCAGCAAGCTCAACGTGGTACCACGCGACGACAGGAGCTGACTGACGTCGTCATACCTGATGAGGTCAGTGGTTGCTCTTCAATCAAACAATTCCATGATACATACCTCCCTCGCTTCATCCATTCGCCATGGTTTTCGAAACGGTCAAGCAGAGCCTCAAGCTCTCCAAAGTCCGCGACATTGACCACGTCATCGAGTTCGGCCAACACAGCAAGCGCCCCAAGATGATGCCTCAAGTTGGCGGCATTCAGGCCGCGACTGGTCAGACTGGCCATTGTTCGTCCAAACCCATCGTAAATCGCCTGCCGGATTGCCGAAGAATCATTGGCTTGGTGAATGCTTTGAAATGCTTTGTAAACGGAGACCGCATGGTTCTCACTCGAATTTGGTGCTGGCAGATTCCAGATTTCCAGCCTTCTGGCGGTGCCAAAGGTGCTTTCAAGCGAATTCGTGTTTTCGACAAGACTTTGGGTTTGCAGAAGAGCATGCGAGAGCCCTGATAAACCCAGTGTACTCAGAGCCTTGACCATTGACAGGCCATCGTTCTGCGAGGCTGGGTCTTTGGACTGGATGTGGCTATCGAACTGGGCTCCGCGGAAGGCTAGGCTCTTGGACCCGTCATTTTCGTATTCCAAACGCGCCATCACGTTCGATAGACTGGAAGTCTGCGGCAAGCCGTAGTAAGCATCGGGATCATCAATGTTTTCAAAGATACTGAGTAACACGCTAGGTGTATGAGACTCCCGGATAGTAGATGACCTGCGTGATGCTCGGGTGACTTGGGAAGCTGCTACCTCAAAGAACAGGAGGGCAGTTTTGTGCATTCCACACCTTGATGCAGCACCGGCGGCGGAAGAGAAGTCAACATCTAGCCAACTGGCGCGGTCCGCAATGGAAGACTCATTTGGCAATGGTTGTGTTCGGAGATAGAGCAGAGCGTTGAGTAGGTGCTTCTGGTTGTGATGAGATGACTCGCTGGAGACTGCGAGCCACTCCTTCAAGGCGTCAGAAAGGTATTTTCTGGCACTTTGCTGCTTTTCCATTTGGCCACAGAGAGCTAAGTGGAGGATAAAAGGAAGAGCCTTCTCAGCGAAGCCTTTGACATGTGTCAAAATGGGCAGTAGCTCGCTCAAAATGATGAACTCGGGGACAGCCTGGACCAGATACGTGACCACTTTTCGGATCCAACCTGCATCCTCTATGTCTTCCATAGTAGAAGAAAACTCATCCTGTTGCACTCGTTGTGAAGCAGTGTCTGATGGTGGCGTTCGATAAGGTTGCCAGGTGGAGGCAAGATACAAGGGCTCGGGCAGTGTCTTCTGGGCAGCGGTGGTCAAAAGCTCATCCTCCTCTGCTGCAGCTTCCGAAACCACAGCCCTCAAAGCAGACTCTGCCAGCCCTGCGGTGAATGAGTCTTTGCTCACTGTGAGCTGCTGTAACAGAGTAAAGAGCCCTCGCTCTGAGCCATTAGCTCCAGGAGCTAGCTTGAGGCTGCTCGACAGCTGCGATTCGCGGAGCAGTTCTGGCTCAATCTCTCCAGAGGCAGCAAAAGCTCTGCCGACAACACGTCCAGCCCATGCTAGATATTCATTGCTGAGAGCCTGAGCTTTGCAGCTCTTCAAAACTAGGCCGCCGTGGTGGAGAGCTTTTTCGTCATCGCTAATGACATCGTATCTCGCAGATGGTGGAATGACAAAGTCCCCACAGAGCAGACCAAGGGCGAGATCTCGGGCAGCCTCGTTCAACAGTTTCTGCTCGCAATCATCATCTTTCAGGATTTCCAGAAGAAGTGTGCTTTCGTGAGTGCCGCTCTCCGCATTGCCAGACGTTCGAATATTCGAGGCGGATTGTGTAATTGACTTGAAGGAGTTTTTCTGGTCTTGACTTTTGAAAGACGGAGAATCGTATTGTGCAAGAAAGTTGGAAAACCAAGCGTGGAAATGTTGAGCCTTATTCATGGTGGCTTTGAACTGGCTTTCTTGTGTGGTGCTTGACTGGCTTGATTCGAGGAAGACACGCAGAGATGCGAGAGTCGAGAGAGCATATCCTGCGAGGAAGCAGGGTGATTGCTCAAGATGCTCAGCTCCCTTACTGATGAGGTATTGTGTGACTCCTAACGCGTCATCTGCACATTCAGAGTCGACGATAAAGGGCCGAATAGAGTGTAGGAGCATCTCGAGGGCGTACACATCGAGCGCAATGGGGCCAGCCAGGCAAATGAGAATGCGAACTTTGCGCAACACGGAACAAGCATGCAAGGACCCCAGCGCTGGGTGAACGGTGTTGAATAACCTTCGGGCTACGCACACCACCAAAGCTGGAGTCCATATGCTTTGCAACTCGTACTCCGTCCGATTACAGAGATGAAAAAGTTGTCTGAGAAGATGCTTCCCTTTGAACATTGGCTGCTGATTTGCCGGAAGAGTAACATCCGAATGGGAGAAACTCTTCATCTCCGACATGGCAATGGCGGCGTAGGCAAAGTTTTCGTCTTTTCCGAAGTACTTGTCCATCGGGTCTTCTTGGTCGAACACGTCGAAGAAGACTGCGATTATGTCGACGAAATTGGCGTAAATCGCGTCAAGATATGGTTCCTTGCCCAAGGTCTTGCGGATACGACTTTCCGCTGCCGTAATGGAGTTGCCTGCGCTGGTATCGTGAGCCATTGCATAGGCTGCGATCTTCGAGAAGCCTTGCTTGATCATTGTAGCTGGGGTAATGGAAAGTCTCTTGGCAAGCCTGGCAGTGCTTTCTTCCTGACCTCGCATGAACATTAGTGCTGCAGCCTCAGATTGTGCCGTCTTGAGCATGTCCTCGAGACTCGTGAATCCGAAAATTTCAAACGGCATCTCTTCAAGTTCATCACCGTCGAGCCAAGTGTAGAACAGCTGAGGGCTGAAAATCCTGAAGAGCTCCTTGGGTGATTCCAGCTGTAGGGCGGTTGAGACCTTAGCTAGACATCGAGTGGCGTACTGGCTAGACTGTTTTATCTTGCCTGGAGTCTCGAAGATGTGATATGTGCATCTGCGGAGGAGCGTTGGCCACCGACAAGCAAGTTCCGACAGAACCAGGATTCGAAATCCGATCCCTTCGATCTGTCCGGGATCCGTAGGCAAACTCTCTAAGACATCCAGAAATACTTCGTCATGCGTCTTGAGCACATATAGGGCGAATATCTCAGGCAAGCGCATGGCTATGAAATACTTGACGGTCATACTTCCCTGTTGTAGAATTGAAAGGAGGGTAGTACGGCAAGAGGCAAGCCCGAGACTGCTGCCATACTGAGGATCCTCCCGTAGCAGGCAAAATAGAAGCTCAGCCAGTGCGATCTGGGACCGAGGTGAAAGACTATTCTTCGGGAGGGATGCCTTGACGAAATAGTGATAGAGGTCGCCGACAAAAGTAGCCACGTCGTGTTTGCTGTCTGACCAGACGCGCAAAAGTCCTTTGATGATGCTGAGGCTCATGGAGTGTATCGTCTCACAGCAGGTGTACTCCATCTCTCCAATCATCTCACCAAGCTTCTCAACGATCACAAGCGCTTCGTCCGGCTTGATAGTGAAGTCTGAATTGAACACTTCAGATGTGACGGCCGTGGACAACAGAAAGTCTTGTCTGGAGAGACTGGACAGTTGCTGAAAGAAAGGCTCTGGAACAAAACCGATCTTTTCTCTGTCTTTATCGATAGCCTCGAGGAAGTAAAGTCGCAAGGCAGTCGAAAGATAGAAGGCTTCACTGTTCCATTGTAGGGCTGCGCTGCGACGAGGGACATCGGGTATCTTGACGGAGTTACTTGTTCCGCTTTCTTGCGAGTCGAACTCATCGTCTAGGTCCATGAAATCAATATTTCGACCCGATGGCTCTCTGGCTGATCGCTGACGAAGTGTTACGGCACAGCGGGAGAGAAGACGCAAGAGGTAGGGGCAGTGCAAGACAAATTTTCCAAGCTCGGCCGTCTTGAGTGCAGGTACATGGAGGGACGTTTCTCCGAGAAGAAGCTCGAAGAAGGCTTGATTCTCAGGAGCGCTGAGAACGGCGTCCAATGTTGAGTCTAGAAGTGTGAAGGTTGCTGCCTCAATATCTCTGGACTGTCGGGAGTTGAGTTGCTCCACCTGTGGAATTAATAGTGTACCAACGACACAAGCAGAAAATAAACTCTGTAATTTCTCGAGTGACAATTGTGAGCTGCCTTCTCTCTTGCCCCATGATCGACAGACCTCTTGTAGTTCTTCGATTTTGGGGAACAGCAGTTCGAGGATCAGCCTCTGGGTTGTGTGTATATTGGTCGAATCATGCGCAAGGACTATGTTATTGCCTTGAGAAGCTCGATAATCCTCTTCAGCTGTTGAGGCGGTGCTGGACAATAAGAGCAGAAAGCTTGTAACAGGGGCAGTCTGCTGATACGCGCTCCATGCCTGAGAGATTGTGGTTCCCGACACAGGCCGTGATTGAATAGGAAGCATTTCAGTTCCACAACAAGCTCTGACCAAGTTGGCGAGTTCTGCCGGGTGTACGTGGGGAGAGTGAAGCGAGGCAAATGCCACATCAGCTGAATCTTGTAAGAAGTTGTACTCATAACAGTAGCTTGGAAGGCGGAACTAACCTGGTTTCCAGCGCAGGAAAACCCACCGGATGACGTGATGCGAGGTTGACTGATTCTGGTTTGGCAGCTTGACGCCACGGAGGAGTATAAGTTGCAGCATCAATGCTATAGAGGAATCAACTAGGATCGCAGGCCCGTTCACATCGGCGGTTGTGACAATGCTTGTGATCTCGTCTGAGACGCTGTGATACGTGAGCATCTCGAAAACTAGGATAGATCGCATCAAATGACAAGCAGCGCGACATGTGGCTGGAAGACTGACAGCTCTTGCGCTGAGTTGCCAGACCGGACGCCAAGTTGAAGTATTATCTTCGTGACCCTTTCCGAGACCTTCAGCAACACAACTGTATGCCACCATGGCCCACGAGGCTGTGGACCCGGCCTCGCCTAAAAGGCTAAGCAGCTCAGTATGAAGATTCAGGACTTCCCGGGCAGAAATGGAGTCGAGGCCCAGAAGAAAAGGTATTAGTTGCAAAGTAGCTCGTCGAACCCCGGTACTGGGAGACTTCAGCCTGCCCTGAAGGCGGTCGTTTGCTGCGTCGATTCGACGTTTCTTTTTGCGGGGCTGCTCGATTTCTTCTGTTCCAATTTCATGTTGCGATTGCCGAGGGACTTGAGTATTCCACAAAGCTTTCTCAAGGAATGCTAATACTTGGAGCATCGCCCACTTGCGCTCGCCGTCTTGATTGTGTGGGCGGAGACCGAATGAGCGGAGACGGAAGAAGTCGTCAGGGGTTGTTATTGTGAAGCTAATGTCATCGATATGCAGCTGCGATTGTTCATTGCGCCTCGTGTACTCTAACCACAAAGTGTCGAAGAGATCTTCCACGTCACCTTTGATTGACAAGTCTTCTCCATCCTGTAGCAGTCGTTCTAGATGCAGATGTATGGCAAATATGGTCTTTAGCATCTCATCTCGCACAGAGTTGAGCATCTCGTCCTTCGAAACCGTTCGACCTTGCCACCAGTGGCTGATGAGCGGCGCGACGTCTGCGGCCAAAGCTTTGGTTCGAACAAGGTCATTAGATTGAGTACTTGTCAGGATGATGTTGAGAGAAGAGAATGCAAGATGGGTGATCCGACTCAGGCCGAGGTGTCTCAAGCTCAAGACTTGTACAAGAGTCTTTGCTATTGGCTTGGACCTCCTAGCAATAGGTGCGTTTGGCGGCGTGACGAGGAGGTATAGGCAGTGCAGCAAGTCCTGTAGTGTACTGCGATGAAATTGTGTCGGTTGTTTTTGACTCGCTGTGCTAGTAAGAGTAGACCGCAGTGTTGAGAACGTTCCTGGTGCGGGGGATGCGCGGGCGCTTGCGCCTGTGTCGTGTTCGTTACCATCGAGGTAGGTTGTCATCGAATCAAGGCAGAAGTCGATGCAATCCAACCAGCCCTCACCATTTCCCTCAAACGTGGCGAGGTGTTCGACATTAGCCTGGTGAGATAAGAGAGCAGCGATGGCCTTGATGTAGTTCTGCAGGAGCGGTTCCACCATCTCATGGGAGTTGTTGTCTGGCCCCGGCAGCGTCTGTGTGATGTGGTCGATGACTGCAAGTACCGTCTTGCGTTTCAACTTGGAGGCCCCATGATTCAAAGCCAGGCGGAGAGCCTCAGCGCACTTGGATAGCCGTGTGGCAGCAGATGCTGCCGTGGTTTTCTTTCCGCTGTAGTAGCTCTGCTTTTCTGTAATGGCACATCTGAAAAGAGCCTCGAAGATGCGATGGTAGTGCTTATCGGCCAGAATGGATCTAAGGTTGTTCAGCCGCCTGAATGCAACGGCTACTCGGGAATAGACATTGATTCGTGAGAAGAAAGGTTGGCGAACTTACAGGTTGGCTGTCTTGGCTTTCTTCTCATCGAGGAGAAAGATTAAGTCGTCCAAGCCAGTGCCCCTGACCTTTAGCGTGCCTCCAGTGATGGCATCTGATGAGATCAGCATATGTAGACACCGCGTTTCAGCCTAGAATTGTTCAAATTTCCTTACCAAGCGCGTCATTCAGGGTGACATCCCCTCTCGATGCAGCGGGTGCCATGTCCTCATGATATGTGGTCGCCGATGAGACGCGTCCAAGCTGTTGCGAGGCTGTGAGATGTCCATGACCAGGCACTTTTGGGGTGTAGAGCTTGAGGCGACTGGAGACCCACCAGGCAGCTATGGTGGATCCCACTCATCATTGCGCTAGCCGAAGATGGTTAAGTGCTTTTGTACTTCCCACCCTTCATGTCAGGCGTTCAAAGTCAAGGCGATAGACATTTTGGTGATATGAGGAGTGCAACAGATACACATGTTGTTAGAACGTTGCAACATACATGACCTAGACCTTGCGATGTCCGTTATATCTAGGAACTGTGTTGTTCAGATCCCGCTGGCCCTGTAATTCATCATTCACCACCTGCTCCTGGCCGGGGCTCCTGATATGTCGGTGCTCAAAATTGGTGCTATCCCTGGGATGCCAATTCTTAAAACACTTGATCGCTTCGCAGACTCACACAGCGTAGTGCCCATTGGCTCTCGGCCCGTGGCGCGAGTCAAAAGGCTTTGTATTCCAAGTTAAAGGCAAGCCATGTCGTGAAGCAGCGTGGTACGGTGGTGGACGATCGAGGTCAACATGACTGGCAGAAATGCTTACCGCCTGCGATTCTGAGACTAGCCGGTCTCCTACCATGCCCGCCGCAGCAACGGGGGCTGGATTTCAACCCACTGCTGCCCGCTACAGCTCCAGCGTGCTAGTAGCTTCGACACCTGCGACTCGTCGCGCGCCAAAAATTCCAACAAATCTCTAGGCGGAACCCGCGAACCAACACAATCGACAGCCACGACAGCAACAGCAGGTGCTGCAAGCCCTCCTATTCCAGGGCCACGCCAACAGCTGATGCAGCCTGCGCCGTCCTCGACAACGCCATAGCGCCCTTCCGCCCAGCATGGCCGAGATCACTACCCTGGTCGCGCTGCAGTCTTTCCATCGCGACCTCGTCGCAATACGCGAAGGACGTCCGGAAAACACAGAGTCCTGGGACAATTCACTTGTGCAGGAACTTTTCAAGCGCGAGCTGTCTAGATTGTGGCAGCGGCCGGCGAGAGACGAGAAGAGTCGCTCTCAGGTCAAGTCAGGTTAGTAGAGCTCTCGCAGCTAAGAACTTGCGAGGCTGAATTTCCGACTAACGCGCCGCCATTGCAGGCAAGGTCTTCATTGATGAGGAAGAATACTCCGTCAACGAAGAATTCCAGCAGATTGCTCTTAATTTGGCAGACGAAGCCGAAGTTAACGAGATCGAAGCCGCTCGATATGTTCTCGAAGCCGAAGAAGACACCGCAACTCTAGGACGGCCACTGCTCGAATGCGCCATCATCAGGTTCCACCAACAGCGGAAATATATTCTGGACAGTTTGCGGTTGATGTTTGAGGTAGATGATCTGGACGACGATGAGGCAGACCCCGAGGTGGTCAACGTGATCCAGGCATATTTGGCGGATAACGTTCTCAAGGATGTCAACCGGAAGAAACTCTTGCCTAGGTGCATGTCCGCCATGCAAGATGTACGCTCTTGGCTCGCAAGGATCGCGGACAAGATGACTGCGGCAGCAGTCTTGATGAACGGTCAGAACAGGGAAAAGCCCGAGGGACTGGAAACGCTCGAGTTCTCCCGGGCGAGTCTTGTCCAGCAGCATGAACTTCTGGCTGTTGTCCTATGCTGTGCCGTGGAAAAGAAGGAGGCGGAGACGGCTGACTTCCGTGGCTTCCTTGACCAGCTCAGAAAGGCGGACAAATATGACGTCCTCACGGGTAAGCGCGAGGCTCTCCGCCCGACGAGGAGCTCTACTAACATGGGGCATCACAGTGCATTTATTTCCTGCCCTCGGTGCTTATATCACAACTTTTGGCTCAACGGAAGGTATCGGGGACCTCACAGTCGCGCGGGAACTTCATAATGTTATCTGCCGCCCCAATGACGACAGTTCCTGGCCTCTGGTAAACTTGCAAGCAGCTGTCAAGGCTTGGTGGGTTGCCGAGTACAGCGGATGGTACCTGGATGACGGACTCCTCGGTGGATTGCAAGGCGTCGACCTTGATGCAGGTATGTGAATGTGAATATATTCACAGCGTTAAGGTTCAAGTGCTAATGCCGAGAAGAGGATCGAGAACGATCAAAGACCTTCTTCGATGCTCTGAGGGATGGAGCTTTTGATTTCCTGCTCTCCATCCTAGCAGATGTCAACAGTGCAGAGCAGCAGGACCCGTCCAGAGCGGCGTTGCTCAAGTGGCTAGCCCGCAAGACACCATCGCTGGTATTCGACACTGTGCCATTCTCCAGCTTCTTCAAGGCTTGCCTCACCGCTCAGTTAGAGGTGTTCGTTGATGCTTTCATTTCCAATCTCCCTGACGTTCTGCGAAAGCTTCGCAGTGAAGAGGACGAACAGCGACAGCTCAGTCAAGCACACGAACAAGACACAGATCTCGAGCGCTTCTTGCTTATAATTGCCATGTCATACGAGGACCGATCGGACGCAGCTACCAGCTTCTGGCTCGACCCTGACAGCAACTTGGCGGGCTTTATGCACTGGGCGTCGCGACGAGCTTCCACACCTTTGGTTACAGCCTTCTGCAACATGCTGCAGGCAGTTTCCGGGAATGACACCTGTGCTACTGCTGCCCACGACTTTTTGTTGGATGAGGGACATCACGCATCTGGAAAAATGAGAAGATCACAGTCTTTGACGTGGCATCAAATCTTCAGGGAACTCACATTCTTCGCCAACAAGACTCGAGATACGCCACCAACATCTCAGACCACACTCTATCGATCTGGTAGGCCGCCCACAGTGCAAGCTGAAGCAGAACCAGAGTCGGAAATGATGCTACAGGCCTACCTAGGCTTGATCACCAAGCTTACATCGGAGAGTGAAACGGCCAGACAATTTTTACTTAAGGAGCCCAACTACAATCTGGTTGAGGTCTGCTATCAGCTCGCCAGCAGTCCTATTCTTCCCCACATCCGAGCCAGCGTCTTCACTGCTTTGCGTGGTCTCCTAACGCACAAGTCTCAAGAGGAAGGTCACATCATGTGGACTTGTCTCGAGAGCTGGATGGGCGGCGGTTATGTTGTTTTCCCTCCTGGACATCACCGACCTCCTCTTAACCCTCCCGAGGACGTTCAGCAAAAGATCGGTGATGAATTGGTCTCTACGCCGGAGGAAGGCATCGCTTTCATACAATTTTTGACTTCATTGGTGACGCCTTCAGAAGAAAGCAGTTCCCTGAACGACTCACTACCTTTTCCCGAGACGCTGGGCTCAGCATTCCGCATGCCCGGGATCGAGATATACGTGGACCTGGTTCTCGCGACCTTGTCTTCACCCAAGATTATTGATGCCAACGACATCTATCAGGCGCGACTGTTGAGGCTCAGCTGCCTCGAATTCGCATTCGTTTGCTTGGCAACATTCAATGAGGACCTCATCATATTGGCCAACCAGACGAACATACAGCTCGATGCGGCAATTGCCACTACCGATCTTGCGACTTATGTTCGACTCCATCCTTTTGCACGCGTAATGGAGTGGATGTTTAACGACAGCACTGTCAACGCTCTTTTCAAGATCATTCACCAAGATGCGACTGAAGTTGGGAATGCTTCTCCAGATGCACCCATCATCACAAGCATTTTGCGCTCCGTTGAGGTTATCTCGAAAGTCCTCGACCTCCAGTCGACCTATGTCGAACTTGTGCGACCAGTCATCAAGTCTAAATCGAGCCATCGAAGGCAGAATGTGTCCAATGCAGCGTTCGCGTCCTTTGAGGATGGGTTGGCTAGCCATCTTAATCTTGTCGTAGACCTCGGCAGCTACTGCGGTATCGGCCACCCTGATGTTACACTGGCTTGTCTGAAGCTGCTTGAGAGAATGTCCAGCGCCCCCAAAATCACATCGGCGTGGACACTTACATCCGGACGGCAAACACAGCGAAACAGAGCCATCATTGCGATGGAGGCCAACGGCGATGATGAGGCGATTTCACGCTCACTGGCTTCCGAGCTAACGACATCGTTTGATCTGGGCAGGGAGGCTGAGTCACCAAACTATGTGACCAAGGTTTACATCCTCGACTTCCTTTACAGTTGTCTGGCTGCGATGCCGAACCAACCTACCATCGCTCACCTGTTGCTTGGCTTCCAATGCGGCGTCGAAACCTTGACCGTCGATGCGAATGGCACCTTTTCGGAGCGGACTTCACTCTTCCACGCCGTTTTGAGACTGTTGCTGGAGACCCCCTCTGGGGACAACCAGGGCATGCGATCCTGGCTCATCACGCTGAAGTTCAAATGCATGCGGATTTTGCGCATCCTCTGGAACTCCTCCTTGTCAGCATCCTTCGTCATCGATGAACTGCGAGAGAATGACGTCTTGTTCCACTTGCTTCTGCGGGATGTTGTCATACAACCCGCCCTGGCTTGGGAAGGCGAAGACATTAACCAGCCTCATTTCCCGCTGACTAATGGTGCTACTACCCTCGTCGATTTCCTAGCCCTACGCAGCATGACCCTGGAGTATATCGCCATGGAGCTTTGTAGTATTTCACAAAGTCGACTTCCGTCTGCGAAACGTCGCATTTTCGAAGCCTTGAATGGGAGACTTCAGGGTGACGAAAACGAAATCATCACAATCCCAACGGTGTATGACTTGTACGACTTCCTGCTGCCTGATGGCATGTGGGACAACTTGGAGCCCGCCGTGCAATTTTATAAAGGCCTGGATCTGAGCACATGCTTTGAACAGGATGCGGATGACAACTCTGTTGCCAACATCGAGCGCGTCAAGGACATTTTGCAGCTCAAGCGAAGTGAGAGACGCGGCGAGGGCGTTCTGCTCACAGCTCAGGACTTTACCGTCATTGAACAGGAGGAAGCTTCAATAGTTGAGCATCTTGTGTCATCCCATCGAGAGAACCTCATCGCTTCCGGGAGGTTAATTAAGTTAACACCCGTCCCCCCTTTTTTATATAAATAAAAAAAACCAACCGGGGGGCAGTGCTCGGGACATCGTTCCTGTGCAAACTGCAAGCCATCTTGCCCGGCCTGGAGCTATATGCATGCGATAGGGCCGGCCGAGGCGCGGAGCTGGCGAAGCTTGGAAAGGTTTTGCTTTTCAAGCTTGATCTCACTACGAAGGCTTCGACCAGTCGACAAAGAAAACCAGAACATCGGCAGCCTGGTCAGCGACAAGCTCTCCAACTGTTCCAAATTCGCTCAGGCCATTGGCAAATGGGCCGGCACCTCCGATATCCGAGCCATCTACTATAGTATCTGCTATCGATACCTGACCGGAATGGTGGATGAAGGCATGCTCGTGGCCGAGCGACCAAAGACGATGCGCACAATCCAAATGTATGGCGAGAGGCTAATCAGCATCATCTGTGACGACGCGTATGGCAGCGAGCCGGACAGCCAGACAGCTGCCATGATCCTTCTGAATGCGCTGGTCAACTTCAGCCGCGCAGAAGATAGCCCTCACGTCATCGAGACACTCAATAGGCTCAACTTTATCGGTATCGTCATTGATTCGCTTCGCAATGTCCACGAGGAATGGTCCCATATCATCAAGACCGAGGACAAGGCGCAGGAAACTTATCTGTCGTCCAAGTTGGCCCTGCTCCTGCAGTTGGCACAGACCCGGATGGGTGCGAAATATGTCTTGCACGCGAACCTGCTCAGAGCGCTCGAATTGTCTGGCCTCTTTGCTGCGGACCCTGAGCTGCAGAGCGACAGAGCCAAAGCCCCGCGCACTGGAGAAGCACTATGAGCTCCTTGCGAAGGCTACACAAATCATCGGGGCAGCGATTGTCTGTCGGGGAGCTAGCTACGTTGGTCAAGGACAGAAGTTCTTGACTGACCATCGCATGCTTGTCACGCACACTTTGAAAAGGAGTGCTGGCATTGGTGCTGCTGAGGGTAGCGACAGCCCTCTTGAAGAGTGGATCGAGGAGTTGGCCGAAGGTTTCGTGGTGCTGATTGCCGCGACTGGTTTCTTGGAGGTAAGTGGTCCTGATGGTCCGACTTTGTCTTAACTTGAGCTCACCAAGATACAGCATGACAATCAGACAATGCCCGAAACGCGGAGAGACACTGGACCTTCGCTGTTTCACTAAAGCACCGTAAGACTGCAGGCCGCTGAGAGGAGAAAATGTGGTTGTCCAAAGGATGATCCCATGCAGGATTCGTTCACTTGCGGGGGAGCAGATGTAGACCAAAATAGCTGACGTGGTCCGGCAGCATTGAAACAGGCGTTAAAGGATGGTGTATAACTAGGTAGATGCGGCTCAAAGCCTTTGTGAAGAGACAACTAGGTCGGCGGTAACGTGAGCCGATGCGGCGGAAGAAGCATCAGTGTTTGAGCATCTCTCCAAAGCTTGTGACCCCCGGATGGATGACCTTGTCACGTCGTAAGGAGCATGCCACGCATGCCACGTCGCAGCATGTAGCGTGTTAGGTGGGTCTACGGTTGGATATGAACATGATTGCAGCAAGTACCTAGACACGCCGGTCTATGCATCTTGGCCCTCTGACCTGGCCGAAGCCGAAAACACTATTGATGGGGTATTACCAAACGCCAGCCTCCCTCCCCGGTAGTCCGTCACCACTCCCAAACTGTCCTTTTCCCGTATTTCGGCCCGTGATCTCGAAATGGTCGATGCTGCTGAAGAATACCAGTGTCCTGTCCCGGTCCGGTCGCACGGTGTAGACCGTAAGCTTCCACTACAGACATCTCCTAGACCTTGCGGTTCACGCCCCTGTGCCATCGTCAAAGGTCGCTACCTCTGCTTGCCCTTTCCCTTTAGATCCGCAGCTGTCATGAGTTTCAGCTCCAGCGGCCAAAAGCCCTTTGTCTTGGTGCTATATGCATTTCGATCCTTGTTATCGATCTTTGTACGGCAGATGGGACATTTATTTCGTGTCGCTTCGATGTGGAGCGCAGAGTGTAGGCATTCGGCACAAAACAGGTGGCCTGCTGATGTATGAGCAGGCGTCAGTGTCAAGATTCAGCTATAGTTCGTACCGCAGTGCGTTACTGTCAGATCAGTGCAGTCGTCCATGCAGATCGCGCACTGAAAAGCACCAATCTTCACCCTCCTGTCTTCCTTTGGCGCTCGCGTCGCCGCCGCGGGTATCTCGTCTGAGGTGGCGAGATCGATGATATCATCGTCTTCTGGGGCAGCTGCTGTGCCGGACTTCTCGCCGAAAAGGTCGTCGTCGTCGTCGTCGTCAATAACAGTCGCGCGGACGTTGCGTGGTCTGGCAGGTGTGTCTGTACGGCTCTTGGTTGAGGATGCCTGGGATGCACGGCGACGTTTGATAGCTGGTGCAGGTGTTGCTTCTGGAGCTTCTGACGACGGGGCGCCGCGCTTTCTTGTGGTCGGCGGCATGATCAGAGGCCTGCTGGAGGTTGGCGGTTGCGACGTTGCGCTGACTGTGGCTTTGTCTCTGGTCAGGCGGAGGTGTAGAAGAAGAGTGGTTGCTGAGCCAGGCGATAGCAAGCTGGTTTGGTCCGAATAACGTTGCTGCCAGCCAGCGCAAGACTGGTAGCCGACAGAAGGAGGGGCGAAATTGGCTTGGTAATGTTGAAGGTACCTAGCGAAGTTAACGATCGCCCCTCAAGGTAATGCCTACAGCGGGACGCTCAGACCATGTGTGCGCTAAGAGTGCCTGTAGTCTTTGGGGGGCGGCATGTTGCCGTGTGGGGATTCCGTGTGATGTAAGCCTTTTCCTGCCAAACAACTGGAATGACCTGGTGTGGTCGTGAATCTTGCCCGGGCACATCACAAGAGTTCAATTTGATACTTACCCTTTCAATTTCTTGCTCACTTCCTCTGGGAGCGAATTGGGAGTCCGAAGAGGCACGGACTTGACACAGCTCTCCTCCCCGTCAGCCTCTTCCTCAAAATGCTCAAGATGCATGCCCAAGGTGCTTTCACCCCCTCTCAGCCCTATCAGCCAGCTTCTAGAAAGGGCTCGGTAGAATTTGTCGTCGCAGCTGAAAAGCTCAGCCGCCTCGATATGGCCACAGCAAGGGCTCTCCTCTTCCTTCAAGCAGCTTCTGAACCACGTCCGCCGTGGTTGTCCACCGCTTCAAGGAGTGAAGTCTTTGCCTGGTGGACTTCCAGACAGTTGCCAGCCCCTCACTGTAGCAAACCGGTCTCATTCGGACAACAGAGACTATTGCGGTTCGACTTGATCTTCTTGCATACCCTACGATACAGGATCAAGCGACGCGGACGACCGTCATCGCATGGACTATCTACTCGGAGGCGTGCGGACGACATTGACTTTCGCTGT